TTGGCCTTAACTTTTTACAAATTCTTATAGCTAGTTTAATTTCTTATAAAAAAATTATTGTGACATATAAAATGTAACATTCGTAAAATGGCAATTATTAAAAATAGAACGTTGATTTTGAAATTCACTATGAATTTGCCCTTGAACCATATTAATATCTTGCGTAGTGACTGTATTTGTATTGAAATTAATCTGAGATCCAGTAATTTCGGTAAGTACTATAGGTGATTCTTGGCTTATTATATTTGTATTTGATGCCGGTTCTATAGTATTGATTAAAGTTTTTATTGTATTGACTTTTTGACTTTCATTAATAGTTTTATATACACGTAATCCTTGTGAACTTTTGTGTTCTGTAATATTTATAATGGCATCCTCTGGTATATCAGCATCCTGAAGTATTTGGGCTGCAGTTTTTCTTCCTGAATGGTTTGTTAAGATACCATCTGGAAGTTTTACTTTAACTTTTTGCCCTATATCTCTCATAAAATTTCTAACTCGATTCAAACCACAATAAGTTTTAAGATATCAAATATTAGTATCATGCCAATTTGAATTTGGTTGCAAATAGAAATTATCAGAAGCACCTAGTGGACGTTTGGAAATATATTTAGTAAAATTGCTAACAGGTCCAGGAATATCTGATGAATTAGGTAGTAACTGAATACAGTGTGCATTTCCACCTTGAATTTCTCGTTGATTATTTTTACTACGATATCGGTAAAATAAAATACTTCTGTTAGATTGAATTTGAAATTGATTACTTTGAAGTAAATAGTTTTCACCACCTCGACATGCAAAAATTATTGCATTACAAAAAAAAATTCTATACAATAAGCCTTGTAGTGTTTTAGGATCTAAAAACTCATCACTAAGAATCTCTTTAACTTGCTGCGCTGTTAAAGCTATAGATCCTTCCTTTTCACCAAATCCTCTTTCCTGTAAATCTTTTATTTTACCATTTAAAATATCATGTAAATCTGGAAATTGATACTTGTCATGTAAATTAAGACCACGAATTATACTAGTTTTGCTAATATATTTATTTATTCTATCGATAGCCTGTTTAACGGTTTTAGCTTTGTATTCACCTTTATCTTTTTTTGTCATTTGCACAATAAATTCACATATTTGTTGCTCAATTAAATGAGGATCTTCAATAGTTTCAATTGGTGTGACATAATTATAATGATGCCGAAATTCATTAAACTTCTTTGTCCAATTTTGGGTAGCCTTTACCATATTTGGTACTGCAGCTTTTTTCCTGTAAAAATCTAGTTTTTGTTCGATTTCAGATCTTGGCACGCTTGTAATAACACTGTCTTTAGAAGTATTTTCTGGAATATAATTGCATGTACTAGTAAAAACAGGAATTTGTGCGTTTTGAATTTCTTTTTTTTTTTTCTGGTTTGGCATCGTTTTGTATGAAAAAAGAATAAAAAGGTGAAAATATCAGTGAAATAATCACTGGGTGTTAGGATCTAGAGGATAAAACAGATATTTAATGGATTGTTGTGAATATCATACAAAATCACAGACAATTATTTATTATACGTCATCGCGGCTGCGCCATGATAACGCATAATAAATAATTGCCTGTGATTTTGCATGATATTCATAGCAATCCATTAAATATCTATTACATATATAGTTACACTAATTAAAGTTGTTTAAAAAAGTATTTTGGTTATAATAATAACTAAATCATCAAAATTTGTTAAATATTCACTAAGATAGCTTAATCAAAAGTTTTTTAAAATATTTTGAATATTGTATAATATTGCAAAATATTTAAAATATTTTAAAAAACTTTTGATTAAATTATTTTAGCAAATATTCAACCAATTTTGATAATTTAGCTATTATTATAACTGAAATATCTTTCTAAACAACTCTAATTAATATAATTATATGCAATTACTTAATAAGTTTTGGAGATCAGAACAAATTTTTAAATTTTTATATAATATTTTATATTAATCACAAATCTTTTACAATATTATATTTTTAAAAACTTGCTAATATATATAGACTTTATAAAAATTATATATTACTATTTAAACTAGTAATAACAACTGGAGACCTTACTTTTTTTTAAAAAAAATAAAAAAGTAATAACAACTGATCAAAAAATGTTACCTAGTTATCTGACAGATATATCTAGCAAGTTATTTGAATAATTAACAAATATATCTGAATATAAAATTCTATTTAATATATATAAATAAGATTAATTAAATACTTTTATTTTAAAAAGTATGGTAACTTAGTGAAGTAGTGAAGTTGTTGCACCCCAAGCAGTTGAGTACAAGTTTAATTCCTATTGAAGACAAAAAATGAATTTCGAAAAACAGATTCGGCAACTAATGCTATGGCTGAGAAACTTGAG